GCATGTGTTAGTGGGTGGGTGGTGGTGGTCAATGTCGTCTATGGCCGCAGCATGTAGGATGTAAAGAACGTATGTGTGTGTGTCTGTCCTCCATGACCATGTTTGTTGACTACGACAAAAAGTTTTGTTAAATTTTCTTTTCGCACTTATTTTCTGTTTGGTTTGTTTTATTGTGGCTACCTACCACCTCCGTATGTACGACTTTAACTTTGTTCTACTTGTAAGTGATTTTTAGTATTTGTTGCCATTATTTTCTACAACATCGACGCCTCCTCCTTTTCTCACACTTTGTCATCAGAGAATCATTAAATATTTGCCTGACCGCCCTACATGATTTCCTGAATGTCCAGTACAGACCAGTTCAGTTTATGGTCATTGCCTGTCTGCTGTTTCAGTCGCAGTCGTTTACTTTGTTTAGTTCGGCTTTTTCTCCCATCTCTATTTTACTTTGCTTTATTGTATTGTCATATTACTACTACTGCTGGTACTACATATCTGTCTGGCTGTCCAAATGACAACGACGGACCGTCCGTCCTTTTGTCTGTTCATTCGTTCGTTCGTCCGCCAGTCAATTGTTATTTACAAAATACTCCTTAGACAGACATTATTGTAATTGATTTTTCTGGTGTAAAAATTTAATCATTGTTCAATACTTATGTCCTATCTATTTGTAAGTCAGCAAACAGTTGGTGTATTATGGAGACCTACGGAGATAGTCTGTCTGAATGTCCGTCTATAAATAGAATTACCACCCACCTATTAGTGAACCATCCAATGTTGTTAGCCAGCTCCTCCTTTTGTTGGTTTATTTTTTTTTCCTCGAAACTTTTACATTCTATGCCTTTGCTATTTTCTTTCTTTAATGGGGCTTTATGTTCTGTAGCCAATATTTTTTTATGAGAATTGCTTTTTGTTTTATGCCTCCCCTTGATACCCTTTTAGTTTATTATGTGCCGTCGTATATGTGTGTTCCGATTGACATTGGCCGGTGTCAAGTAATCGTTTAGCCGTCTCCTTATCCCTGAAATGTTGTATATCATTTCATTTGACCTCGGCAATAAGTAATGCCATTCGTTCGCTTGTCTTCATCATTTGAAAGTTTAATGTGATTTATAAACATGGGCGCTGTAGTGTATCGTATATATAGAGGATTAGTGTTATCGTAAAATACTTTGGTAATTTATTGACAATTTGTAACGAAAAGATATTAACATCGGTGGAAATTTTAAGCTTTAAGGAACAATTTTGGATTTTTCTTAAAGGATTCACAAAGGAAGGGTTTGAAGGGCTTCCAAAAAAAAAAAAAAAAAAAAAAAATAAAATAAATAAATAAAAAAAATAAAAAATGGGCATATTAACTTATTATTTAAAAGAATTTTTAAAGAGAATTTTAAAATAATTTTATATAAATTGTTTTTTAATAAGAATCTAATGCACAGGTGTGTTTTTAAAAAACTTTGAAATTAGGTCAACAACCTTTAAAGCGCGACGCAGATTTCCCCTTTCCTGACGAATATTTGTGCTTAAATAAATATTGGTCCAAGACCCACCTGTTAGTATAAGGATCGCCGTGTCTACACTAGCTGAGTCACCTATAGCCATATCTGTCCGTCCGTGTGTCGATTATAATTTGTAAACACGATACAGACTACAGCTTTTATACCCTTCAGCACACTGTGGTACAGGGTATTATGTCTTTGTGCATATATTTGTAACAACCAAAAATAAAGAAAGACCCATGGTTCCTTTTGAGAATATGCATAGAATCACTTTCTGAGTCGATTTACGCATGTCCGTTTGTCCCTCCGTCCACATATTTTTCTGAACAAAGTACAGGTCGCATTTATGATCCGATTTGGATGAAATTTGGCATAGGTCACTTATTTGGCCCAGGGACGAACCCTATTGAAATTGGGAGAAATCGGCTCAGATTTAGATATAGCTCCCCTATATATTTTCGTCCGATTTAATGTAAATGGTGCACCAAAGTCCCTATATATCTTTCGATTTACACGAAATTTGGCACAGCGTAATGAATTAGGTCTAGAATGATATGTGTTAAGTTTTCTGAAAATCGGTTCAGATTTAGATATAGCTCACATATATATTTTCGTCCGATTTAATGTAAATGGCGCACCAAAGTCCCTATATGTCTTTCGATTTGCATGGAATTTGACAAAGCGTAATGAATTAGGTCTAGAATGTTGTGTGTTAAGTTTCGTGAATATCGGTTCAGATTTAGATATAGCTCCTTTATATATTTTCTTCCGATTTTATGTAAATTGTGCACTAAAAACCAACAGTTTGTCCGATTTCCAAATAGCATTTGTCAAGTCGCATTGAAATCGTCTCAGATTTGATATCGCTTATACAGATATATAGAAATATAGGTTGCAGAATGGCATGTTTATGGATTTCGTGTTAATGGTCCTGCAACGTCTGTTAGGATTCATCTGTTGAATATACCAAAGTGGTGAAGGGTATCATATAGTCAGCCCCGCCCGACTTTATCACACTAGAGGGCGGGAATATAGCGCTGATGGCTAGTAAATTTTGCATGAGGTTAAGGTTATGGTCGATGACGACACCTACAATCTTTGATGATGATCAGATGATATTTCGGGGATTAAATAGACCAAAATCTTGACTTGACTTGACTTTCATAATGAAGGCGGTTTGACCAACTAATTCGAATGGCTGTCATGATACCAAATAATTCGAATGGATGTCGGAAGAGCGGCCAAAAGAGTGCAAATATTGCGAAATATTACCCGTGCTCGAAATATAGAAGAAACCGAGCGCTCAGCGGTAGTTTTATATGGTACCAGATGGTCGCCCCATCCGAGCATACTGCTACGCTCACTGGAGGCTCATTTTTGGGAAGTTATTAGTTCAAATAAAAAGTAGATCTTTTGAAACCTAGAAGGGGGTGGTTGGTGAAGTGGGAATATTGGCAGTGGATCCGTATATCCTACACCGCATGGTGATACAGCAAATTTTGTACGTATCACTTAGTTGGCCCAAGGCAAACCCTACTAAAATTGACGAAAATCCGTTAAGATTAAGGAATAGCTCCTTTCTACATATTTATTCGTCCAATTTCATGGAAATTATACACAAATTCTCAATGTTTCTTCGATTGAGACGAAATATGGGTTTTTTTGAAATGGCTTCAGATTTACATATCTCCGATTTATCATATCTTTTCGATCGCTTTCGTACAAATTGTGCTCCAATACTGTATCGCATTGAGTCTAAAAACACGTATGTAAATTTATATTCGAATCCAACAGGTTTAGATATAGCTGACATATATATTTGTATTCTATTTATGTAAATGGTGCACCACAGATTCTACGCTTGTTAAATTAAGTTAAGAACGCAAAAGGGTGGACTATTTTTTCAACCGAACATAGTAAGTTGAGATTTCCAAAATTCTTTTGAAAATGACTCAAGTCCTTTCATGAGGTCCCAAATCCTTCCAAGATATTTTAATTATTAGAGGAGGACTCAAAGGTTTTCAAGCGTGGATATGTTAACGACTCCAGAAGAGGTTCCAATGCCTTTCAAGAGTGTATTTGTTAAAAACTCTTGAAAAGGACCTTAAATCTTTCACGCATGAATATTTTATAAAATCGTGACACGATATAAACCGTTCATTCGTATATTTTAAAAGTTCGTGAAAAGGACAGCAAATTTTTCAACAGTTGATAAGCTATCCTTGATACGGCCCGCAGTTAATAGTTTGCTAAGCAGAATTATGTACACTCTTGTTAGGAAAACAGGCAGTGAAATTTGATTAAAACTCATTTTTGATAAAGTGGGTAAAAACATTCGTCTCTAACAGGAAGAGGAATTTTGAAATATAGGCAGTAATGATTTTATGCTCTACATTTTCCAGCCGAAGTGGGTGCACGTTAACAGTTCGCCTTTATTATGAATCAAGGCAACATTTGTGGCATGGACACCTCACCTTTTTAAATAAATGTTGACTATAGCAATTTCAACAGGATTTCCTTAGGCCTGAATTTTATAATACGGCATGGACACCTAATCTTCAAATTGATAACCGCGTTTCAAGTAAGTCTTTCCTTCGAACTTGAAAAATGAATTCAAGTGTAAAAAATCTTCTTTCGTTTTTACTTAAGAGAAATAAACACTATTGCTATGGAAAACATCTAGCCACACACGAGTGCATGTTTTCGACTGATGGTCACATTTTGCTAAACTACAGTTCCGACCCCTTAACCTTAACTAACCTAAACTAGCACTTATACGCCTTCTCTAACCAACAAATAACAATTTTTTTAAGAAAATAAACAAAAAATTAAATCATCTTCAAAAGAAACAATAACTACAATCGTGTCCAGACTGAACTGAAACTAAAAATAAAACAAAATTGTAAGCTAGGGTCTTATAAAAATATGTAGTTGTAAAACAAGAAAACTAAAAAAAACTATTCCAGACATAGCCCAAAGGAAAGAAAATAATACGAAAAAGAAAACTAAAGCAAACGAATTGTTATATATGTTTTAATACAAATGGAATGCATACAAACATATGTGATGATGGACTTACATACCATGAGCGTCAAAATGAAGTACATTCAAATTAATGCATTTATATTTATTTGAATTTATAACTTCGTGAATGTTAATTTAATGTGAACATACAAATTCCACTTAGCTTTTAAAATTTATGTTCTATATACAATTTTTTTAGACTCACTGTATAGTTATACATAGATATATGTCTCAAACACCAAAGATTATTTATAATCCTTACAAGAAAACGAACATAACTAAATTTTTTTCTTTAAATATTTGTATGTATGAGCATAATGTAATGGAATGCCTGAATAGTTTTAGTCTAGTCAAAACATAAGTCCCTACATACCCTAACCCTTTCTTTTTTCTTTGTTCCTTAAAATAAATATTCTCATTATAAATATTTCCTTTAATACAAATATTCTTTCTATTGCTTTTTCTTTCTATTTTTAGTTCTGCGTGATGAATTTCGCATAGAACCCCAGAATACACGCATAGCTCAAGGTGATACAGCCCTCTTGGAATGTTCAGCACCACGTGGCGTACCCGAACCAGTGGTACTGTGGAAAAAAGGTGGCAACATAATCGATTTTGAATCATCGAAACGTGTACGCATTGTTGATGGTGGCAATTTAGCCATACAGGATGCTCGACAAAGTGATGAGGGTCAATATCAGTGTATTGCAAAAAATCCTGTTGGCGTTCGAGAATCAGCGATAGCCACATTGAAAGTTCATGGTAAGTTAATGGCTGTGAATTAATTCATAACCCTTTTGGAAAATAACACACACTCATACACATACATACACACAAATTAACTTCATCAATAATACATTTACTAATCTGTCAATTAAACCAAAACTGAATTGAGAAAAAGGGAAGAGCAAAAAAAAAATCCCATCAAATTCTTTAAAAGATAATCTGAAAATGTCTGTAAGAAAATATTAATACCTTTATTTCCCCAGTGATAGCTTACACACACATATATACCCACATACCCACAAATCAACCATAATATATTTGTATTTTTAACCCCAGCCATCTATCGGTTTTTTCTAAAATTGTGTTATATTTCTTGTTTCTCTTCCTTCTCTCCCCCTATAGTGAAACCATTTATAATACGTGGCCCCCATGATCAAACGGTTTTGGAAGGTTCATCAGTAACATTCCCCTGTCGTGTTGGCGGTGATCCAATGCCTGATGTTTTATGGCTGCGTACAGCTTCTGGCGGCAATATGCCATTAGGTAAGTTTTACAATCCAAATGACACAGCCATCAATACGCTGGCAAACTGACAACAACATCTACAACGACAAGAACAACAACATCACATACACCCACGACCTATCTATGAAGTGTTTCCTACACTGACAACTACATTTTGTCATTTGATGTTTGTAGCCATCCGCCCTTCCACCTGGCATCGTCTTTCATATTCAGTTTATTTAGGTTAAGTGCTGTGATGTATTAGAATCGATTTGTTTCATTTTTTCTAGCGAACGAGTTACGAGAATATACTCCATGGTATTTGTGAAAGAACAGTGGGGGGAAATTCTAACTCTGTAATTTTCTTTGGAAATCTGGGAGATTTATTTATAAAAATTTTTATGAAACCAGTATGGAAGGGACCAAAATTGGACTAAATGGTACCCTACCCCACATTGGCTTACTTTTATGAAGGACTCTAAGAATTTTATAAGATTATGTATAGGCTCCACATTTTTCTAAAAAATAGTTAATATTTTACAAAATAAAATTTAGAACACCCTATTGTTTGTCTTAATAAATAGCCCCCATTGTGAATTAAACATCGCCTAAACGAACCAACACCACCAACACCTTTGCAAAGCATCACAAGTTACAATATCATTAGATTTTTTGAAACCGGTGTATTATTGTGTGGGTGTATGTTTCATGTAGTGGTAAATGTTACAGGTTATGCATCAGTTAGATAGTAAATGTTGTTTTTTTTCTCTCTCTTTCGAAAACCCCTTTTATCGCTAGCTTGTGGTGGAATTGAGGATTTACAGTGATAGACAACTGAAAGCGAACGAAGTTAAGCACCCAAAAATATATAGGTGTAGGTGAGAGAGCGAGGGCGAAGTTATTGATGTATGGTTATTTAAGTTTGTGGTCGTATAACAAAGTGACAGCTGACGTTACAAATATAGAGGAAACTACCAAATAATTGTGTGTACTATTGAGATTTATGGCATGTGTCCGGGTGAGTGAGCCTACAAAAGAAAATTTACTTTGATTTTGGTTTTTGATTGTAAGGAATACTAATACCTACATATATAGGAAATAGGAAGGTATAAAATAGTGGGAAATAGAAGCAGGTTGTTAGAAAAATCCTTTAGAAATTCTTCTATTAGCTATACACCTTGGTAAATAATCATATAATAGTCTACTGATTGGAACATTATATTCATAGTCTTCTTAAACAGTTCTCGATAGTCCTCCCAAAAAGCCTTTCATATATATATTTTTTTAAGTTCAAAATAGTCCTATTTCTTTATCGTGGCCATTCCTTTCTAAAATCTTAGAATAATCTGCTCTAATTACACCGTTTCAGCAAAATCTGTTCAATTCACATTTCTTTCAATATAACAATTTGAAAAATTAAAAAAAAAAAAATCTTCTGAAATCCATACTGAAACATTTTTATTAGTCCTTTAAAAACTCTCATAAACATATTGTTTAAAATTATTCCGTGTAACTCTCACAAAATTCATCCCAAATAGTTCATACTGCAAATCCTAAATCTAAATCCACTCTTATGTGCCCTCCTGAAAAGACCTTAAAAAAGTCACTCTTATTAGTGTCTGTGTCAGTCTGAAAAGGCTTTAAAAAATCCACGACACTGGTTTGGGGTTCAGCGGACAAATCCTGAAAAAAATCCATCCTTTTAAATTGAACTGTTACATTGAGTTCCGTTTAAAATCCCCTAAAAATCCATTGAAAATCCTTCTTAAAAGCTGCACTCTACTACGCTTAAAGTCCGTTTTTCCAGACTTTAGTTCCTTCGCTTAATATCCTCTAAAAACCACACTTAAAAACTCCATTCTCTATACCAGGCTTAAAGGTACTTTTTCGCGCTTTGGGATCTCCAGAACCTTTACAAATCTGGTATTTGCTCTTTTCAAAAGGCCTTTACAAACTACGCTTTGTCCTCCTAAAAGGACATGTTAAAATCCATGCTTTGTCCTCCTTAATTATTTTTATAAAAAGCCACGCTTTGTCCTCCTCAAAGAATCTCTAAAATTCACGTTTCTTCCTGCTTAAATATATATATATATATATATATATATCTTTTCAAAATTGTCGAATGGTTCTACTGTCCTTTAAAAATCCATTATTGTTCTTTCTGAAATGTTCCACTTCAAAGGAACTTTTAGAAATTTAGGCTTCGTCCTTCACATTTAGTTCCTGTTAAAATCCACGTTTGGTGCTCCTGAAGTATCCTTCAAAGATCTACATTTAATCGTACAACTATCCTGCAAAATCAACATTTTATCCTCATGAAATATTCGTAAAAAATCACTCCTTGTCTTCGAAATTCTATTACAAATCCACGCTTTTCTATTTCATGTTTACCTGGCTATTTCATGTTTAATCTAAGCATACTTATCCTAGGGTTATTTTTGTAAGTCATTTAAAAGACCCGATGCGCAAATTTTCTGCTTTTTCCAAAATTACTTCGAGTTCGAACGTCTTGAAAATTGCATAGAAGACTCTGTTTGTGACTTAAAATCATTTTTAAATCCAAGATTACTAGGTTTTCATTATCTTGTAAAAACGTGATCACGTGATCATGTTGTAGGACATGACAAATTTTGACGTGGACGTATTCTTAATTTTTTTCTATATAAAACTAATTAGTATCCGTTATCTGTTTCACAGATCGTGTCAGTGTACTGGAAGATCGAAGTTTGCGATTGGAACGTGTCACTGTGGCTGATGAGGGTGAATACAGCTGTGAAGCTGATAATATTGTGGGAGCCATTTCAGCCATGGGTACTCTGACAGTATACGGTAAGTTTAAATACTACAACATTACAACAAAAACTAAATTATATAAATATCACAATAAAACCATATCGCTAAAATAAACAAATATATAACACCCTTTCCTCTATGTGTCTCTCCCTCTCTGTGTATTTTCGTAACTACTCTCCCGTGTAGCACCACCCAAATTTTTACAACGTCCCACTAGTAAATCTGTAGAATTGGGTGCCGACACTTCATTTGAATGTCGTGCCACCGGCAATCCTCGCCCCACAATCTTTTGGACCATTAAAAATAATAGAACCATCATATTCCCCGGTGCACCACCGTTAGATCGTTTCCAATCGATTAATACCGAAGAGGGTCATTCCATATTGACGCTAACGAAATTTCAACGCAGTGACAAAGATTTAGTTATTGTCTGCAATGCCATGAACGAAGTGGCCACCATAACCACACGGGCACAATTAACTCTGGACTCACAGGAAGATAGACCACCGCCAATCATCATAATGGGACCGGTTAATCAAACACTACCTGTCAAAAGTTTGGCCACACTGCATTGTAAGGCAATTGGTCTGCCTAACCCCACCATTTCGTGGTATCGTGACGGCATACCCATTCATCCGACGGCAAAAGTTAATTTGACCACAGCAGGTGATTTAATAATTTCCGATTTAGACAGGCAACAGGATCAGGGTCTGTATACATGTGTAGCCAGTAGTCGTACGGGCAAGAGTACATGGAGTGGCTATTTGCGCATCGAAGTGCCCACAAATCCCAACATCAAATTCTATCGGGCACCTGAACAAAGTAAGTGTCCTTCAGCTCCTGGTCAACCGAAAGTATTAAATGCAAGTGCCGATTCACTGACCATCGTCTGGCCAACAAGTGATAAGCCAGGAGCCTCACCACTGCTGGGCTATTCGGTGGAAATGTATTCGACGAATAAAAGCAAAACATGGATACCGATTGCATCACGCCTGATTGAACCTATTTTCACAGTTGATGGGTTGACAAATGGTGCGGCATACATGTTTATTGTGCGCGCCGAGAATGCCTTGGGTTTCTCTCCGCCCTCACCCATATCTGAACCGATAACAGCCGGCCAGCTAGTGACCAGGGGTAGTCATCGTGGTGCCGGCAGCGGCATGAATGGTGCGGGTGGTGTCAATGAAGATTTGATGTTCGCCGAAGTGGAAACGTTGTTGCAAACGAACGACGTTGTAGAACTACTTGAAGCCAATGCCACAGACTCGACCAGTGTACGGTTGGCATGGGACATCGATAGCGGCCAATATATTGAAGGATTTTATATTTATGCACGTGAACTACATTCGGCCGAGTATAAAATGATGACAGTCTTAAATGCGGGCAATGGTGCGAGCGCGTGTACCGTTAATGGTTTGGCTAAGGCGAGTAAATATGAGTTTTTTCTTGTGCCATTTTACAAGAGCGTCATAGGAAAGCCAACAAATTCGAAGCAATGCTCAACAATGGAAGATGGTAAGTAGAAAGTGTTGGATAGTGTTGTTGTTTTGATTTGTTGTTGTAGTAAATAGTACAGTGGTGTTAATGATTCGCGTAGCAAATTAGCGAAAGTAGCAACTCAAAAAAAATATATATTTAAAAATTCTACGCTTATTGTCCACATAGGATCCTCCTAAATATATTTAAAAATCTACACTTAATGCCCTTATGGGATCCTCCAAACATATTTAACAAATCTGCACCTAATGTCCTTACAGAATCCTACTAAAAATATTTAAAAAAGTCTACGCTTAAGGTCCTCATAAGATCTTATTAGAAATATGTAAAAAATCTACTCTTAATGTCCTTATTGGGTCCTGCTCAAAATATTTAAAAATTCTACACTTAATGTCCTTATAGTGTCCTTAAAAATATTAAAAAATTTACCTTCAATGTCCTTTTAGGATCTTGAAAAAATTTCTTTAAAAGTCTACGCTTAATGTCCTTATAGGATTCTTTTAAAAATGTTTACAAAATCTGCCGTTAATGTCCTTATAGGATCCTTTCAAAAATTATTTTTAAAAACTCTACGATTAATATTCTTGCAGGATCTTGCTAAAAGTATTAAAAAAGTTTACGCTTAAGGTCCTAGACAATCCTGCGAAAAATATTTAAAAAATCTACGCTTAAGGTTCTTATAGGATATTGCAAAATATTTTGAAAAAATCCGCGTTTAGTGTCCTTTAAATCTACGCCAAATTTCATTATGACTGAAAATAAAGGCCTATTGCCCTTATAGGATCCTCCGACAAATATTTAAAAAAAAATCTTCACCAACGCTAGGGTCCTACTAAAAAACCCCTTATTTTTCTTCAGGATATATAATATGTAAAAGCTCAATACCATTAAAACCCCCTACCCCGCCTTACATCAGCTTAACTGGAAAAAGTTCTTATAGCCCTTCACTCCACTCCACGTTGTCCATTATCAAATGGACATTTCGGTTCTAGGCTTGTCGGTTGTTAATCAAAGATTACATTTCATTCAATTTATTTTCCATTGCTTCTTATTTTTCTGTTCTCCTCTGTTCTGATGAAAGTGTGTGAGTGAACGCACACACACACACTCATACCACACCAATGTGCAATTTACAATTCCATTTATTATGCCATTTTTCATTACAGTTCCCGAATCGCCACCACATGGCATGGAAGCTATACAATTCAATCGCACCTCTGTCTTTTTGAAATGGCAGCCACCGTATCCCAACAAGACTCGCAATGGTAAGGATTAAAGATGAAATAGTGCTCTCCTGATGATTGCGCTAACGTGACAACAACACAACACAGCACAAAAGCAAACATTCAGCAAGCAAAAGAGCTCTACTTAATCATCATCACCACCATCACAATGACGTCCATGTCCAATCCCTATCCTATTCATCCTTCATCATTCGCCATAACAGCCTGAAATAAGCCGGCAATTTTTCCTTTCATTTTTGTTCGCACTCACTCACTCACTGTCTCTCTCTTCTTCTTTTTCGCCCGTTTTAATTTCACAGGCATCCTTACCAACTACAATGTAATTGTCAAAGGACTTGATGCTCACAATACAACACGCATCTATAAAAATATGACAATTGATGCCAGTTCACCAACATTGCTGCTGGCCAATCTGACTACCGGTGTTACCTATTACATTGCCGTTGCGGCGGCCACTCGTGTCGGTGTGGGTCCATTCAGTAAGCCGGCTGTATTGCGTATGGATCCTAGAACACAATCATTGGATACAGGCTATACAAGGTAGGTGGTTGTCGGCATTTTTTGCCAGCTGTAGATGATTTTAATGCATTTCAATTGTCGAAGTGTTGAGTATTAATGAAATGTTCCCCCCACCTGTTTTGTTTGTTTTTTATGTCGTTACTTTTTTAGATATCCCATCAATCGTGATATTGCCGATGATTTTTTAACGCAGACGTGGTTTATCGTTTTACTGGGCTCCATAATCGCTATTATAGTTTTTCTATTTGGTGCATTGGTGTTATTTAAACGATATCAGTTCATCAAACAAACATCGTTGGGGAGTTTACATGGTAAGTTATATAAACAAACAAACACAAAATTTATGAATATTAATTAATTAATTAAAAGTTAACATAAAAGTTACTAGGAAGGAAAATTATGTGAAGTGGATAAACTTTAATGAAATCCTCACCAAATATTTTTGCCAACTGTATTTTAAAAGTATGCGCCTTTTTAATACCCTGCAAAACATAAAAAAACATGACTAATCCTTACACGATCCTGCCAAAATATTTGAAAGAACCTACTTCTAATATCCTTTTATAGTTCTGCAAACAAAAATATGAAAAATTTTAAAAAAATACACACCTAATGTTCTTTTATGGTCTTGCAAAAATATTTCAAAAATATACGCCTAATGTCACTTTATGGCAGCAGTGCCCAAAATAGGTCCCATGGGCTGTCGGTGTGTGTCAAATTGCTCACACATACAATTATAAAAGAGAAACATTTGAAAATACAAAATAGAAAAAAATGGGGATATTTTGGCAAACATTAGCTCTGAACAAGTCGAAAGATGTGACCAATATTTAAAAAAAATATTTTAAAAATCTACGGACTATATCCGTTCAAGTTTTCAACGAAAATATTTAAAAAATCTACGCCTAATGTCCGCTTTTGGTTTAAACAAATATATTTAAAAAATCTACGCACAATGTCCTTATAAGATACCAAAACATATTTTTTAACAAATCTACGCCTAATGTCCTTATAAGGTTCCAACAGAAACGTTTTAAAAATCTACGGATAATGTCCTTATAAGGTCCAAAAAAAAAAAAAAATATTTTAAAAAAAAAAAATTACGCCTGATGCCCTTGTAAGGTTCCAACAAAAATATTTAAAAAAATCCTTTAGGGTCCCTCAAAAAAATCTTTATAAATACACACCTTATAAGCTCTTGAACAAGATTTTTAAATAAGGTGCTGACGAAAATATTTCCAAGTCCATACATAATAGGTATTGACAAACATATATGAAAAATTCAGGAATATTACGGTTGTGGTAATTAAAAAAAACTACTCACCTTTAGTCCTAATAACAACCTCAAAAAAAGTCTTAAATACGCCCAACGTTAATATGGCCCAATTCTTATAGTGTTCTGTAAACAATTAAAAAATATACATTTTTGGATTTTTCAAGATATGCACGCTTAATATTCTTTTTGGTTCTCCAAAAAAACACGCTCAATATTGTTATTGGGTCTTTCCAGAAATGCACGCTTTATATTCGTATTGGGTCTTCAAATAAATTCTTTAAAAATCCATGCTTAATATTCTTATTGGGCCTTCGAAAATATCCATGCTTAATATTCTTATTGGATCTTCGAATAAAATCTTTAAATATCCAGCTTAATATTCTTATTGGGTCTTCGAATAAAATCTGGTAATATTCTTATTGGATCTTCGAAGAAAATCTTTAAAAATCCACGCTTCATATACTTATTGGATCTTCGAAGAAAATCTTTAAAAATCCACGATTCATATTCTTATTGGGTCTTGGAAGAAAATCTTTAAAACTCCACGCTTCATATTCTTATTGGGTCTTGGAAGAAAGTCTTTTAAAATCTACGCTTCATATCCTTATTGGGTCTTGGAAGAAAATCTTTAAAAATCCACGCTTCATATTCTTATTGGGCCTTGGAAGAAAATCTTTTAAAAATCCACGCTTCATATTCTTATTGGGTCTTCGAAGAAAATCTTTAAAAATCCACACTTCATATTCTTTTTGGGTATTCGAAGAAAATCTCTAAGAATCCACGCTTAATATTCTTATTGGTTCTTCCACAAAAATCTTTAAAAATCCTCGCTTAATATTTTTATTGGCCCTTCCAAAAAAAATCCAAGCTTAATATTCTTATCGGGTCCTCCAAAAAAGTCTTTACGAATGCCACGCTTAATATTCTAATAGGGTCTTCAAAATAATCTTCATTGTTTTTATTCGGTTTTCGCAGATAATCTTAAAAAAAAATCCAAGCCTAAAATTTTTATTGGATTCTTCAAAGAAATATAAAACTCTAGCTTATTGGATCCTCAAACAAAACTTTAAAATCCATGGTTATTTTCGTCTAAAATTCTTCCAAAAATCTGTAAAAAGCCAACGCTTTACATTCTTGTTGAGTTCCCTAAAAAATCTTCAAAAAATCTATGCTAAATTATATTCTTATTGGGATATCCGAACAATTTTAAACAATATATAGGCCTACATGATTTTTGAATTCTCATAAAAAATCTTGAAAAATAGTCTTGCTGGATCTTTAAAAATCCTTTTTATACATTGAACATCCCAAGATAATCTTAAAAGACCCATGCTTTATATTCTTGTTAGATCTTTCGAAAAATGCACGCCTTATACAAATCAAAAAATGAACTTTTTATAACTCCCCCATGAGCTGGTTAATAAACATACGTTCGGAACTTTTAAATGGTTGATATGTCATGGTAAATGTTGGCTCGAAGAAAACTATATACTTAATTACAGATTCTCAGGTTCTAAATTTGATACAAGATCTTGAACATACCGAAACGAACATGTGATCTTAGCATGGAGATAGGTTTAACGATTGACTTATTTTGAAAATATTAAATCCACTTCGTGGAAGCTTTTATGAGGTTTATATGCAAAGATCGACCGATATTCATAATTTTGGGCAATAAGCGAGAGAACCCAAAGATATGAGAATCCATGAAAAACGGAGGGAGAGCCAATGTGAACCAAACATTTAAAATTTGAACTAATTCAGCTAAAAAAAGTGTATCAAGTCCTGAGAATAGGGGAAACGTGGGCCAATATTGAAAGGCGTGTTCAAACTGCCCAAATTACCGACATTTGTGAGGTACCACATATCCAAAATTTGACCAATATTGATCATTGATGGTAAGATGGTCTGATACCCATCGTGCGGACATATACTTTAAAAATACTCTATGAAGTCTCCGTTATTTTTTTTTTCGAGGTATTGCACATAGACAACAAATTTTAATACACTATCGATAACTTTGTTTTCAAAGGTCCCTCCTAAAATAGCTCATCCTTAAGAATACACAAAACATAAATGGGTCATAGAGATAATCAGCATTTAGTAACTCATAAAAATATAAATAATCTCAAACACAATAAGAATGCCATAAAGAGAAAAAGACCACTTAATATGTATCTAAGCAATTAAGACGCCTACCACAACAAAATCAGATAAAATATTTTCGGGACATAAAAAATACAAATTTGTCAAATTTTTTTATAAATTGCCTAAAATAAAATTAAGCAATAAACTACAAACTTAATTTGCACACAAAAGCTTGTTGTTTACAACCCCAAAAGAGAGATAAGTCGATAAAGGTAAACAAAAACCAAGCCACACCACACCGAATGACAAACATTCTAATAAATTGTTTATTTCCGAAACCGAGCGAGAGAGAGAAACGAGTTAGCAATTTGTAATAAAATATTAGAACCAAAAAAAAAAAAAAACAACTCGACTGGAAATAAAACAATAAACTACAAAAGGTTTCAACGCTGTGTGATAAGACCGAACAATAGAAATGAAATATGTTTTTATTAAAATAGAAATTCCGAATATTGTTTTGCATTTCTTTACATTAACCTCCCTAACGCCCAGTATTTTATGATTACTGCTATTTTCTCTTTTTCATTTTAGGAAATCACGCAATCGGTGCCGTAAGGAAATTCCCCACATTACCCTTAAATGCCAATGGTGTTTGGATCGACCCAACAGGCGGTGTTTGGCGTCAGGCCAACAACAGCAGCAGTACAACAAAGGAGCAATTGCCAGATTACGCACAAGTTACGGGACAGGCTACATCACAGTCCCACCACAACAATCATCAACAACAACAGCAACAAAATCAGCCTAACATGCCATTGCCGGATTATGAAAGGTAAGCATTTTTCACTTTTTTTCTTTTTCAAACACAAGCACACACACACACCTAAACATATATATTAGGATATGATTTCCGCCAAGCTTTGCAAATCTCTAAACATTTCCTCTTCGTTTTTTTCTGTATAGCAAAAAGGGTTTAATGCGAAATCTCCATCCACACATCCATGAACATAAACTTAAGCATTTACGTGATAAACAAAAATGCTTGTAAAAAATATACATATTGTCGAAATTAATAATAACGTCGTTCCTCCACTTGAGGTGGTGTGGGATGGTATAGTCGCATAGCATAAGTCCATGGATTATTTATGGGATTTTTTTTCTTGCCATAGCACAGAGCACGTAAACGTAATGATAGATAAATTGGAAATTATCATGAGTTTTCTCCTTTCGAATATTTAATTGAAGAGATCCGTGCTGAGTAGGGATTTGACATAACCATTAAAAGAAGGAGTATTCGAAAAATCGCTATGTGGATAATGAAATATTGATTTTCATTAGATATTCAATGAAGAACTGAACTAAAAAGAGGAGTTATGGGCAAAAAAAAAACTAAAATTACATTTATGGTGAAGGATACAGACGTGCAATGAAGTATCCACGAGTATTAACAAAACAGGTTGCGAAAATATTGCGCAGGAGGAGTTATAAAAATTGTCATGCAGAAGATCAAAATTATAAATAAAAAAACCAGTGAGCGGGGCAGTATAGTCAGACGGGACCGACCTACACCACTACCACGGAACTCTAACTTTCTGCGGGTATTTATAGCCTGGGCTATATTTCGTGATATTTGCACCCTCTTGCCCAATTAAGAGGTCAATAGAACCTCTTTTTTACACTGTCATATTAAAATATTTAACTGTAACACCCACATCTGAGTACATACGACAATATAATTGGTATCAATTTAAAGGTCAACCACTCAAGTTCTCGGATGTAAATGTATACGCCATAGAATACAAAGTTTGTCATTTTTCACACAAAAGTCAGAGTCCATTGAACCTCATCAAAACAGGCATGCTTATTCTTTGGTCCGATCCCCTTCTCCGTGTTAAAATTCGCGATGTTTGGGCCATAAATGCGGCCTCTACAGCGACCAGAAAATCAGACAAAAATTAAGTATTTGATCTATTTCATACCCTAAATATTATCCGATCTTTACCAAAATAGGGGTCTTCATTGGCCAGAACCCGCCCTGCATGCAAAATGTCATGAAGATTGGTCCATAACTGTGGCCTGTATCGTGTTTACAAATTATAATGTGCAGGCGGACGGACGGACACACATGTCTAGACTGACTCAGCTAGTCGAGATATAACGATGGAAACTTAAAGGCGGGTCTAGGACCAATATTTCGCGCCGTTACAAACATTTGGGCCTGCACAAAGTTATAATACCCTAACAACATAGTTGTGTAGGGTATAATAAGCAAAAATGTAGTTAAGTTAAACCATGAGTTGAACATTAAAAATACCAGAAATAGAGCTTTTATTTGCGGGCTATGTTATGGCTAACAGAAAACGGAATGCCAAATTGCAGTAATATAGCCAATTATGATCGAAAATGCGCCAAGGGCAATAAAAATACTTTAACGTGACTGGACCTTTATATGGGACTATCGCCGGATTCTTATATATACACAACTATGTTGTCAGGGTATTATATCTTTATGCAGTCCCAAGAGTTTGTAACGCCGCGAAATATTGGTTCTAGACCCACATTTAAGTATTCCGATCGTCATATCTCACCTAGCTGAGTCGATATTGACATGTGTGTGTTCCTCAAAATACAGCAAATTTAGGATTCCGTTACATGGGGACTATACCAAAACATGAACAAATCCTGGTAATTTTTTTGTAGAAAACAATATCACAATTTGAATCTATTCGGTTGCAAACGTATATACTCCACATTATATATACAAAACACATAATAATGTGGAGTATCGGGCTACCACGGTTAAAAAGCGTGCTCAATGTCCACGGAATTGTGATAATTTAGCGGGGAGCGAGTTATTTCAACAGACCGGCAGGTTCACATAGCCAAAGCGACATAGAATTGTATTCCGATCCAGACTAGGGTCTTCGGTGAATATATTTAGGTGTGCAAACGGAATGACATAATATCGACGCCTCCGAACCATAGTATGCTAAGTCTGAAAAGTGAGTTTTTCAGTAGAAGCTTTCAAAGTAATCGTACGTGCCATGCTAAGTACATTTTTGCTTATAACTTTGGTTTGGATTGGCCGATGATTACCAAAATTTCAGTGAATTTAAATTAAGAACCGCAGTATCTAAAAACGTGAAGAACTTTAACTTAGCATACGACTTAGCATACTATGGTTCGGAGGCGTCGATATGAACCAGACCTTATTTCGAAAATGGATGCAAATTGGATGTACAAATGTTCTTATTGTATGATAGGTTACAAAGAGAGGTGGTTCAACCAATACTATCACGCATCCTATCACCGGTAAGTGTGCCTTCATGCTAAGGTCCGGTAGTTTAGCATTCACATAAGGGGACCTCCATTCTCGTTTTCAAAGTCTACATTTTATATGAACCATAACTTCTCAATAATGTCTCATTTAAATTTGAAAATTAAATCTCAAATAATTTTGAACATGTTGCCGATTTTTGGTTTTAGTATCAAGCGACGGCAAGAGAGTTTCTCAAACTTTAAATGTGTCTTTTTCGATTGGTGGGAACGATAGCTCAAAAACAATCGGTTTTAAATATTAACACGTAATTCAGTACTACATACCTAATATATGAAAAAGGATAAATAAAATCGGTGAAGATCTTCTCCATATTTAAGCTTGGTTTTGTGTAGAAAACAGTCCACTTTCCACAAAATAATTTTCCTAGGTCCGCCATTTTACTAATTTATAGATTCGGATGTTCCAGTGATCGGAAACAACAACAGCATTTTATAAATTTAGTTTCCTTTTTTGTGAAGAGTCTGAATCGCATCCTTCCTTTTAGCCAAAAATCATATATGTAGAGGACATTTGTGATGGTGTTACGTTAACCTAAGAGTCTTTCTCCGGCATTTGAGTTTTATACGACTTATGTGGATCTTGGCTACCTTTTGTTTTATGTTGTTTTTCTATCTGGCATGATTCCCGGATATCTAGCTTGTGAAAAGATGTATCTAAGTTTTGTCCGTATGCACGTTAAAAGTCCTTGGTCTCACCCAATTAAAAGCGTTTCAGCCTTTCTGTAAATAAGTCGGAATTATTTACCCTTCGAAATAAACGTCGCCTCCATGCAGTTTATTCGTGTATTCCTTGTTATATGATTGAACCACTCTATGAAGGCATGAAATCGAACGGCCGCTTATTATTTCATACAATATTATTTATTTAAAGCTATATACAATTTATTTTCTTTTTTTTTAAATATTTTAAAAATATAACTATCGGTATTACGTACTTTGCAATGTGTTACAATTTTTCCGGTCAAAACAATTCTCCCTTATTTTTACGGAGTATTAAAACAACGTTGTAATTAGTTTTTGTTATTTAGCATAACATCATCAGCGTAACATACCCCAATATTAAATGGACATGACATTGTTGGGGCAACATTTGTTTTCCTAGTTCGATTTTTTCTTACCCCCCCCCCCCCATACCTTAGAATGCCAGTGGTCATATCTTAAAGGAAACCACCCCTTCGTAATAGGTATATTTTTTGATTTCTCATCACAAATTGCATTTTTTTGTCCAAGGTTTGACACACATAATGCCTACACATTTTATAATAAATTAAATTTTAATTCAATTTTTCTTCGGTGAAATACAATTTTATGCTCAGGTATTCTAGCCTCAAGATTATACTATTCCTAACACTTGTTCCATTTACCCAGCTTCACCATACAGACAAACCGAAAAAAATAAATGCCCATAGACATTTAAAACCCCCTACACCTTTTAACCGAAAACAAAAATTGTTGAAACATCTTTTAACATAATTTTCTTAATTAAGTATCATATTCTGAGTTTTCTCCTATCTTCTCTTCTTTTTTCTACGTTGAGGAGTCAAAACAACATTTATTCATTTTAGAAAAATGAATTTACCTGAAGGAGTCTGTGTATCTATGTGCGGTAGAAATGTGGCAGTCTAAACTTACTTAAGATGTTCTTGTTCTGCTGATATTTCTTTCGAATATTTTTGTCGAGTTATAACTTAAGTGGTTTTTAATTAGTTCAGTTTTGTTGACCATATTTTCTATCTTTTGGGGTTGTGTTCAGGTTCAGGTTTTTTTTGGGTTGAATTTAGTAGAGAATTGTGAAAAATGTTTTTTTTCTTTTTTTTCTAAGATAATTGCTTTTCTTGATATCCTTTTGGTTTTTGTGGGGTTTTCATTTTATTTAATTGAGTTGAAAAACGCAGTGATGCTATTATGAATTGTTTGTGTTAAAGGAATGATTTAGGAAAATATTTTAGTTGAAGTATTTTGAAATAAAGAAATAAAAAAGTAAATTATATCACCACTACAAAGTGATAGGTAACATGAAGAAAATAGAAAGAAGAATAATTAATATGGGAAAATACGGACGAATTATATATATATATGGACGAATTGAAGAGGAATATTTCTGTCAAAAGAAAAATATATTTTGTATTCACGTCTTAGACAATTTTTGAAGCATACTAAACCTTCAAAAATTTTCTGTAGTCTTCATATTGATTTTACTCAGACTTGCATTCCTCAGAAAACTAGAAAACCTTTAAGTAATTATCGACCGCTTTTATACCCCAATCTTTCATTTATCTTATCATAAAAATGTTTGCTTGAATAACACATTTTTTAAATGTGTGTTTTAAAGCTGAACTATTTTCGCAGGTTTATGTTTCCACCTCTCGTCTTTTTATTCAACATTAGTCATTTGTTTCTGTGGTATAACTCTCAGATATTGTCCAATCAAAGTTCGGTTATAGAAGTACATTTCAGATAATGTTGCAACCATAATTGTATACCCAGATTAAATATGTTTGTGCTTATTTGCCTGGTCATTTCCTCAATCGTATGTATGTATGCTTGTCTGTGTGTTCAGTAATCGTTTTCTGTCCTGCAAATTGATTTTTCTATTTCATTAAAAAAAAACAGTAAGGAAAGTAGTAAAGTCGGACGGGGCCGACTATATGATACCCTTCAACACTTTGGGTATATTCAACAAATGAATCCTAACATACGTCGCATTTTTAAAGGACCAGCAAAATGATATTGGATCCATAAACATGTCATTCTGCAACCTATACCAATTTTTTCATTTGATCAGTTATAGAAGCTATATCTAAATCTGAACCGATTTCAACGATTTCAGGAAATTTAACACACATTATTCTAGACCTAATTCATGACGCTGTGCCAAATTTCGTGCAAACCGAAATATATTAAGGGACTTTGGTACACCATTTACCTTAAATTGGACGAAAATGTATATGGGAGCTATATCTAAATCTGAACTGATTTTCACGAAACTTAAAACACATCATCCTAGACCTAAATCATTACTCTGTGCCAAATTTCGTGCAAATTGAAAGATATATAGGGACTTAGGTGCGCCATTTACATTAAATCGGACGAAAATATATGTGGGAGCTATATCTAAATCTGAACCGATTTTCACGAAACCTAGCGCACATAATTCTAGACTTAATTGAATACCAAATGCTAAATTTCATGCAAATCAAAAAAAAAATATATATAGGGACTTTGGTGGACCATTTACATTAAATCGGACGAAAATATATATGGGAGCTATATCTAAATCTGAACCGATTTTCAGGAAACTTAACACACATCATTTTATACTTCATTCATTACGATGTGCCAAATTTCGTGCAAATCGGAAGATATATAGGGACTTTTGTACACCATTTACATAAAATCGAACGAAACTATATATCTAAATCTGAACCGATTTTCATGAATCTAGCACACATCATTTTGGCCTAATTCATTACGCTATGCCAAATTTCGTGCAAATCGAAAGATATATAGTGACTTTGGTACACCATTTACATTAAATCGGACGAAAATATATATGGGAGCTATATCCTATGGCCTATATCCTTGGGCCAAATAAGTAAACTATGCCAAATTTCATCCAATTCGGATCACAAATGCGACCTGTACTTTGTCTACAATTTAACATGGACAGACGGACGAACGGACGGACGGATGGACGGACGGACATGCATAAATCGACTTAAAAAGTGAGTCTATGCATATTCTCAAAAGGAACCATGGGTCTATCTCGATTTTTTTGCCTGTTACAAACATATGCACAAAGACATAATACCCTGTACCACAGTGAAGGGTATAAATACGAATAAACTAGTGGAGTGTCGACCCCTGTTAATAACCTTTCTATTATTATTATTTGTATTTCCTTATCATATTCCATGTCATATAATCTTGTACGGAACTAGGTAATCAATCTACTGCAATTAGTACATCGTTAGTACATGTTTCACGCAATCTATTTTTTTCTATTCGACAAAATTGTTAATGCGACAACATATCCAATTAATAGAAGGAGGTTGAGAACTAACTTGGCTAACAACCACTCATTATTGTGTATATATTGACTTCCAGAGAACATGAATGAACATGAAATAATATTTGAGTAAAATAAAGAGAAGGCTAAAAAGAAAACGAAAAACAAAACCGTAGAATATAAAATGTTTTCCCTCCCCTTTTCACTTCAAAATTTCATTGCATGCATATTACATTCATTCAGTCAGTCATTCATTCGTTTGATGTTGATATTACAAATTACATTTTTGAGTTTCGTTGTCGATGTTGTTGCTTTTTTTCTTGGTAACTGATTTCATTGGTTGTTGTTTTTTCTCTTTTTATTTTCAGACTTACACCACTAAATATGCCGGATTATGCTGAAGTTGCATGTTCAACATTTAAAACACCAAATGGCGGAAGTGCACATGCAACGTTATTGCAACAACAGCAGCAACTACTTGCCAACAATAAGGCCTATCAGCAGCAACAGCAACAACAACAATCTCTCTATGATAGTTGTGGTGCCTATGCAACAACAAATCTTGTGGCAAACGCCAAATTATATCAAAATCGAGGAAACGGAACGAACACAACCACATCCTCGATTAAAACGAACCAAGGCGACCGGGCATCAGGTGATATTTTAGATGGACTGCGAGACCGGGGAAATGAACAAAAATTATTGTCCTCATCAACAATGCGCTCGAACAACAACGATGATTATCGTTCGACCATGGGCAGTATAACATCCAGTCTCTATTCAGCACCACCTAGCAATCATTACGGCGGCGGAGGTGGCGGCAGTATAATGGGTATGGATAACAATGCCTTTGGCAACAATCTGTTATCGACATTCCCCGATAAAATGACAGCCAGTACAGCATCCACGGCCATTTTGTCGGCCTCACCATCCAAGTCAGTAACGGGCTCATCGTCACAGAAAAAATCCACAACATCCTCATCGACATCAAATGCGACGGCGACGGGCAATAAAATCAACATTACCGAGAATCGTTTTGATTTGATGAACAATGAGCCATTGCAACCGACACGTTTAAATCCTTTTAATACGAACAGCATGCAATCACAAAGTCAAAGGCAACAGCAACAACAGCAGCAGCAATTGCAGCAACAACAGCTGCTGGTGGCCAGCAATGCATTGAAACAGGGGCTGGGTGCCTATGCCAATACAACATTGGCCACCCAGATGATCAATGGCGGGGGTGCTGGCACTCTGCGCCGGCCACGTAATCCCAAAATGTTCAAAAGCGAGAATAACATTAATTTCGGTAGCCTCTGTAAGAATAATGGCTCACTGGGTAATAATAAGGGTGGCCAACAACAGCAGCAGCATGGCAACAATACTTTAGATTTCCTTACCAACAGCGGCGGTCACAACGACAGCTTCAATGACAATGATTTTTCACTGATAAGTAATTCCACGAATCAACTGCTCAACGATTGGGCCTCGAGCTCCTCAATTGCGGCCAGTGATTATCATCACTTTGGCAGTAAGCAGCCCAATAAACAGCATTTATATATTAAATCAAAAGATGGTACCTGGTCGGCAGTATCATCGGATGCCTATCAGGCATTGCGTCAGCAGCAGCAACAGTACCAGCAGCCTCCACCATCGTATGCCCATGCAGCAGGTGATAAACTATTACAACCCTCAACCAATCATAATAGCTCGAACAATTCCTCCACCAACACCACAACAACAAATAATTCAGCCTCCCTATCCTCCTCCACCGCAAATCCCAATAATAGCTGTAGTCAAAATGTCAGCTGTAGTAGCTCAAATTTAGATGCCCTGACCACCAATAATACCACAGCAACAACAACACCATCATCATCAATAACAACAACCACCAGCACCACCGCTAGCGATAATTTATTAACTAATCATAATAATACGAATAAATATTTTAGTAGTTTTGGTCCTTCGGCCAATGTGTAAGTTATGTATTAATAAAGAAAATAATCAAGCCACCTCCTCTATACCATAGAAAAGAAGATGAAGAAACCCTATAAAGAAAATCAGATGAAAATGTATTTATTATCCATAACAAAATATATAGCTAAGTTAATGGTTCTACTAGGATCAATGCAAGGAATTAATCATTAGCCATAAAGGAAAGGATTACCGAAAAAAATAAATGAAAAATAATGCAAATATTTCACTACCACCACCTCCTACAGAAGCCTCTTAAATGCAAAGAAAAACCTAAAAGATGAAGAAGAAGAAAAAATATATTAAATAAAAAATACAGTCGAACGTGGCTAAGACAAGCAGGACAAAACGGGAAATTTTCCTGAAGTTCCAGGTCCACTGGGCGTCCACCATTTATGGTCCACTAAAGGCCTCCAACACTTCGAGAAATGTTTAAGGGCCTCAACCTTTATGATATTTTATACAGGGTTCCGGAATTTTCTATACAAAAGCGCCCCAAACCTTCTGGAATGCTTCAATATGGGGTTAGAGAAATTTTTAAAGGGAATTAATCCTTCCACAATTTTCTACAGAAAAATTTTAAGGGTCCCAAGCCTTCCCGAATTTTGAAGCGTTCTAAGCCTTCCCGAATTTTATATAGACATTTTTGAAGTGTTCCCACCCTTCCGGAAAGTTCTCTAGAAAATTTTTGAAGGGTTCCTACCCTTCCGGAATGTTCTATGGAAAATTTTGAAGGTTCCCAAGCCTTCCAGAATTTTCTATAGAACATTTTGAAGTGTTCCAAGCCTTCCAGAATTTTGTAAAAAAAATTTTAAGGGTCCGAAGCCTTCCAGAATTTTCTATAGAAAATTTTGAAGGGTCCCATGCCTTCCAGAATTTTTTATACAAAATTTTTCTATAAAAAATTTTGAAGGATCCCAAGCCTTCCAAAATATAGCAAATTTTTCTATAGAAAATTTTGAAGGGTCCCAAGCCTTCCACAATTTTCTATAGACAATTTTGAAAGGTGCCAAGCCTTCCAGAAATTTCTATAGAAAATTTTGAAGGGTCCCAAGCCTTCCAGAATTTTCTATAGAAAATTTTGAAGGTCCCAAGCTCTCCAGAATTTTCTATAGAAAATTTTGAAGGGTCCCAAGCCTTCCAGAATTTTCTATAGAAAATTTTGAAGGGTCCCAACCTTTCCTGACTTTATAAAAAATTTGAAAGTGTGTCCCAAAACATTCAGCATGTTTTATAGGAAATTTGCAGGGTACAAGTCTTCGGCAATTTTCGTTCGAGAATTTGAAGTCTACCTGTCTACCATTCAACAATTATCCAAAGAAAATGAATAGAATACCACCATGGATATTCTAAAATAATTTTGAACCAATCCCTCATTCTAACCCCGTTCGACTGTATTTTTTATTTCCCAAAAACAAAAAACCACGAAACAAAACAACTATGTACAGTATAATTGTGATCTTTTGAAGTTTAATAAAAAAAGTAGTAAAAGTAACTGAAAAGAAGATGATAACGAATAAAAAAACCTAACTATTATTGCAGCAATGAAGAACAAAAACAACAAAAATATACGAATAAAAAGATTATTATATTTTAATTTATTTTTGTTTCTTTATTATTTTTTCTGAATGCTCATCCGTTGAAACGACTCTCTATCTCTATATATATAAAAAAAAGTAAATCTATTTTATAGCCCAGCTTAGTTAAGAGCAGCATCAAGCGCGGGTTAGAAATGTTAGTAGCGATTAGACAAAAACAAGAAATTATTTGTAATAAATATTGTATAGAAATCTTTAAGACTTTTTAGAATTCAAAGGTAATACTTGAATTTAAAATATAACAAATAAATAATTATTATTAAAAAATAAAAAATCGAAATAAGCTAATATAAATGATAAATAAATAAAAAAAGAAACTATGAAACGAACACTTAATTCCACTGCCAAGTTGGTTTTTGGTGCAATAAATTAATTAAAAACTGACATGAATGTGTTTCACTAACTTGGGGAAGGGAGAAATCTTGGGTTCAAAAGGAAGCAAGAGGGATATAGAAAGGCATACCGCTACTTGATAACAAATTTTTCTTCACAAAAAAATGGGGAAAACCCTGCGAGCAAAGTAGGAAGAAACATAGGCAGAACTTTTCAAATCTTTTTACCGAAAATTCTAATAATTCATATTGATTCATAATAACTGGAAAGTCTAAATATTTCAGTCCGAAAAATATATATTGTATATGTCTCAATTCAAATTGTGAGCGATTTACCTAAGGAGAATTATACGTCGCATATTCCGTTTCGTAAAAACGGTTTATCATTAGCTATAACCAGCGCATACACAGAAGTCTGATATTTCAGTAGCCATGCTGTGGTGCCAAGATTATAATTTGTTCTCTTAGTCTTGGACGACAGTGATTTAATTACCTCGCTGTGTACTTTTCTATGCATCTTGACTTTGCGGAAAGGGGTCAATTTTGGGAGTGTAGACTTGCGACAGTCCATGTTTTTCGAAATTCATACCAAAAGGGACTAAAATAAATAGAATGGAACCAGTAAGGAAAGTAATAAAGTCGGGCGGGGCCGACTATATGATACCCTTCACCACTACGGGTATGTTAAACAGGACTATTAACAAATGTGAATCGACCTAGATCTATCCATAAACATGTCATTTGTTTGTTACAATCGGACACAAGTATGTAAATGAACTTCGAACAAATATCAATAGGTCATCCGCAGCTACGTTATTCTATTCTCAATTTTGTACGTTGTGCAGAATTTGGTGTCAATATGACTAACACGAGGAGTTTGATGTCCAATTTACTTAAAATCGGACGAAAATGTATATGGAAGCTATATCCAAATATGAACCGATTTCAACGAAACTTGTCACAGGTTAGGTTATACTAACTTTAGTATGTTTTGTTCCTATCAGTCACATATTGGTTCCTTGGTGTATCAATTAGGTCTGAACCGATTTTTACGAAACTCAGCACACATCATTCTGGACTAAATTCAGTACGCTATGCCAAATTCCGTGCAAATCGAAAGATATATGTGGACTTTGGTGCACAATTTACATGAAATAGGACGAAACTATATATGGGAGCTATATCTAAATCTTGACCGATTTTCACGAAACATACCAGACATCATTCTAGGCTCAATTCAGTACGTTATGCTAAATTTCGTGTAAATCGGAGGATATATGTGGACTTTCGTGCAAATCGGAAGATATATAGGAACTTTGGTGCACCATTTACATGAAATAGGACGAAACTATATATGGGAGCTATATCTAAATCTGGACCGATTTTCTCGAAACTTGGCAGACATTATTCCAGACTCAATTTAGTACGTTATACCAAATTTCGTGCAAATCGAAAGATATATGGGGACTTTGGTACACCATTTACATTAAATCCGACGAAAATATATATGGGAGCTATATCTAAATCTGAACCGATTTTTCCCAATTTCAATAGGGTTCGTCCTTGGGCCAAACAAATTAGCTGTGCCAACGTTCATCCAAATCGGATTATAAATGCGACCTGTACTTTGTTTAAAATTTAACACCAACAGACGCACAGACGGGCGGACGGACATGCATAAATCGACACAGAAAGTGTTTCTATGCATATTCTCAAAAGGAACTATGGGTCTATCTCGTTTCCTTTTGCCTGTTACAAACATATGCACAAAGACAGAATACCCTGTACCACTGTGTGGTGAAGGGTATAAAAATAAAACTTTTAACTTTGGTATCAGGTTCACAGATAGAGTGGAGAATAGATGAACCAAAGGGTACAAAAAATATAATAAATTGTACTAATTGCAGTAACATTTTTACGACAGGATGTAATAGAGCTAGAATCTTGAACTTTAGAACTACATAAATTTGCGTGTAGGGATTAGATAATTTTGCGGCTGGGTTGTACGAAAATTATTAAATGGTTCCACAATCGTCTCATAAGGTTGGTCTTTGGTTTTTGGAAATAACAAGTGTTTGTCCTTTACATACTGATTATACCCTCCGCTAAAAGCTTACATATAAAACTTTTTACTGCATTGTTAATAATCGGATTCTTTGGTTTACCATTTGTAAGTAATAGAGACAAAATAATGTATGTGGAGTTGCATGTAAATCTGGACCTAACTGAGCAACCGTGGCGTAAACCATTTGGTATCCTCGGTGCACCATTTACATAAAATCAGACGAAAATATATATGGGAGATATATTTAAATCTAAACAGATTTTTGCAGCTTTAATACTCATCAATCTAAAGTCACCTCTGCCAAATTTCGTGTAAATCGAATAAACATAGTCGGACAAATATTGGGAGTTTGGTGAACCATTTACACTAAATCGCACGAAACAATATATATGGAAGTTATCTAGATCTGAACTGTTTTCTAAAAAAAAAATCCACACACATTAACTAAGACTTACTTTAGTACGCTGTGCAAGATTATGTCTCAATCGATGATTTTATTATGTCTCAATCGAAATTTAGATAAAATCGGACGAAGCTATATATGGGTGTTATATCTAAATCTGAACCGATTTCAACAAAATACGATGTGCCGTCTCAATCGGAAAAATATGGGGTTTGATGCACCACAAACATATGTACAACCAGTGAGCGGAGCAGTATAGTCGGACCATACGATACTCTACACAACCATACGACACTCTACACAGCTACAACAGAACTCTCTCTTTTGCGGATTTTTATTCCGAGCCTGGGTAATATTTCGTTGTAGTTGCACACTCTTCCCGATTAGAGGTCAACAGCACCTCTTCCTTACACTGACATATTTTCCGAATATTACTAATATTCAGTACAGTTCTTCTAATTACTTGTCCACATTCCCTTCACCGTTGGTTTGTGTTGTGATGTTCGGCCTATAATTGTAGCCTATAGATCGAATCGAAAAAAAACCACACAAAATAAGTTTTCGGTTCATTTCATCCCAAAATTATTATCAGATCATCACCGAA